AGGGATTCTGTGAGTCCCAGAACCTGGGAGCTCCCGGCCCATGGGGCTGAGGGAATCTGAAGTGTCCTGGGGAAGCGAATCTCCCTGTCCCGGACTCAGACTTTGATCCCAGCAGGGGCAGGTCAAGGTGGGGAGGGGGGAGCTGAGAGTTTTAAGAGGGGAAGAGTTTCAGTGTCGTGGGGGGGGCTGTCGGGGGATCCCCCACCCAGGAGGAGCCGGGCGGGGCGGGGCATTACCGACTGGCCAGTGCCCTGCGACCGCCGCTCCGTGCAGTGCCGGCCAGGCGCCTGCAGAGCCCGCTGTGCCGCCGCGTCCCGTCCCGCCCCGCCCCGCCGCGCTGCGGGGAGCCGCGGCCACGTGGCTCGCAGGCGGCGGCGGCGGCGGGTTGGGAGCGTCACAGAGCCGGGCGCGCCTGGCTCACAGCGCCCGCCTCGGGGAGCCGCGCCCGCCCCTGCCGGGCCGCCGCCTGCGCCGGAGGAGCGGAGAGGCCGGGCCATGGAGCTAGGTGGGTGCTTCGCTGGCGGCCCGGCCCCGCTGCCGGGTGCAGCCGCGGGTGGGTGTGGGGTCGCGCGTGGGGGGGTTGGGTTGTGTGGGGTCGCGCGTGGGGGGTTGGGTTGTGTGGGGACGCGCGTGGGGGGGCGGGGCGTGCATCAGGGGTGGGGTGGGGACACGCAGCACCTTAAACCCGCCCGCTTGCCTCACCCGCCGGGTGTTTAATAAATAGCTCTGGAATAGAAAGTCCTTCCCACGTTTCTGGGCCGGCCAGGCGCCAGGGATCGCAGAGTCTGGCCCGGTGGTTGGCCAAGCTACCCTGAGGTGAGCGTGCGCCCCCGCCGAGTTGTATTACACAAGGATGCTGGTCCCAGCAGGGCACCAGCCTTCCCCCCCCCTTAATTCCCCCCCCCCGACCTGAGCTAAGTAATTGCACCAGATGGCTGAGGAGTCAGCAAGGGGGTTAGCAGAAATCAGCCCAGCGAGAGAATCGTTTGCCCGGTTGGTACCCCCTATTGCATGTACCACAAAAGTGCTTCAGGGATTTTTGATTCCATGTGTGTGCATGAAAGACAGACACTGGCAAATTCCTCATGCTGTTGCTAGAATGGCCTGCCAGCCTCGCCCACAGCGTGTGAGGAGCAGAGGGTGCCTGTCTGGACAAGAGGTACACAATTCTCATAGAACATTATACCGCAGTCAGTAATGCTGTTTGGAAACGGTTCGGAGGGGACAATGCACCTTCTGTGAGCAGGCAATGTAAACAGACACTAAGATTGGAATCCAGTAACAAATACACACCAGCATCCTACAGGGAAACCCCACCTACTGTGGGAATCCAATGCCAGTCCCCTTGATCTCTGCACTGGAGATTTAGAATTAATGGAGATATCCCATCTCCTAGAACTGGAAGGGACCTTGAAAGGTCATGGAGTCCCGCCCCCTGCCTTCACTAGCAGGACCAAGTACTGACTTTGCCCCATCCCTAAGTGGCCCCCTCAAGGATTGAACTCACAACCCTGGGTTTAGCAGGCCACTGCTCAAACCACTGAGCTATCCCGCCCCCCAAAGCTTTAGGCCAATGGGGTATGTTCTATTAGGAGGAGAATTTGCAGAGTGCAACATGATCAGTGAGATCAAGGATTGTCTTGGGGCAGTGTTTTAGCCACAGGACTTCCCTGGAAGCAAGGCCTAGCCTTTCCTCTGGGGCGGGCACTTGTATGCAGGATCCTTGCAGGGGTGTCCTGGACTGCAGCTCACATTTTAGAGCTGTGCAACATTCCACCATGCTGGTACGTTGGTCTGACATTGCTGCTGATGTGTGACCTCACGTGAGTGACTTAACCTGTTTGTGCCTCTAGTGTACGTGAGCCTGACAGTAGCACTCCTCCCCCACCCCCCATGAGATCCTCTCTTGGAAAGTGCCGTATAGGCTCAAAGTCTCACAATTCTGTATTAACGTACAACACCAAAGCAGGGGCCGTTGCCAAGCAGACACAGGGACTTTAAGCAGCGGGACCACCGTATTCCTTCCCCATCCCTCAAGAAGCCCCTGTTATGCAGCTTTTGCCTCCGTAGCAGTGGAAGGGCAGTTTCACAGATTTCTTCCTCCTCTGGATTAGAAACCTTGAGTTCTCTGTATGTGAGAGAGAAGTGGTGGGGTTGGCGATCTTAGGAACCAAAGCCCTGTTTGCGCTGTGTGGGCAATACTAATCCTGTGGCATGTTTTGTAAGAGGAGGAGTTTACACTGGTGGCCAGAGCCCACCCCCAGCAGTTGCGTTGTGTGTTCAGTGCATGGGTGTTGGTACACATTGTCCCTGGCCTGCCTGCATTTCAGTACTGGATAATTTGTAAAGTGCTTTGGGACTATAGGCTCTATAAAAACCCAGGGTGATACTACAATCATCAGCTGGAAAACATCCCTTTCCCTGCAAGCTGTTGTGCATGTGTGTGCCTGTGTAATCCTCTTTCCCAGGCTGCCCTATGCTAATGAAGGAGCTACTGCAAGGTGTAAACTGGCGGTGTTTTTGTGTGTAATTGGTATGTCTCGTGCTCCTGTTTGGAGTTCAGGACAGTTGCATCATCTCTCTAATCCCCAGATCTGGTGGACTTGCTGCATTAAGGGTTAATGCAGGGTTGTTTTTCCACCTATAAGATGGAAGGTTGAATCTTTTACTTCCTTGCAGCATTTCCGTAACAATCCATTAACATTCCTCGGTGTAAGTTAGTTTAAGTAAACTATTTGTGTTATAGCAGGGCCCCGTGCTAGGCGCTGTGTGTACACATAGAAAGAGACAGTGCCCGCTCCAAAGAGCTTGCAGTCTAAGGAGATGAAACAAAAGAAGTTCCAAGGAGTTCCACAGGTTGACTGTGCGTTGTGTGAAGAAATACTTCCTTTTATTTGTTTTAAACCTCCTGCCTATTAATTTAATTTGGTGATGCACAAGAACCAGAGGATGTTGTGAAGGCCAAAACCATAACAGGGTTTAAAAAAAAAAAAACTAGATACATTCATGGAGGATAGGTCCATCAATGGCTATTAGCCAGGATGGGCAGGAATGGTGTCACTAGCCTCTGTTTGCCAAAAGCTGGAAATGAGCGACGGGATGGATGACTTGATGATTACTTGTTCTGTTCAATTCCTCTGGGGCACCTGGCACTGGCCACTGTCGGAAGACAGGATACTGCGCTAGATGGACCTTTGGTCTGACCCAGTAGGGCCATTCTTATGTTCTTAAGAAAGATAGAGAAAGGAAGTAGTACTAGCCCCATTTTACAGACGGACTAGCCTAAGGTCAAACAAGGAGGCTGTGGCAGAACATTGAAACCAGCTCTTCTGAGCCCTGGTCTAATCACAAGAACATCCTTCCTCTCAGATTTAATTGCATGTCCGTGTGTGCTTCTCTTTAAACAGGACCCTTGAACGTCTGTGAGGAAACAACCATTCTGCATGGCGGATTCCTGCTAGCAGCGAAGTTGTCTCATCCCAAAGCGTTGACAGAGTTGGCCAAATCCGACTGGCCCCGGGTCGGGCAGCCTATAACTGATGCCTTGAAGGAGATATGCAGCAGCCGTTCCTCTTCCCCATCCCAACCCAATGTGTGGAAGAAGAAAGCGGTTATCATCATCTGGGCCAAAATCCTCCTCCCCTGTCCCCTTGTCCTCCGCGGGCTCCACCTCAGTCGACCAACGGTGGAAGGAAGATGTCTTCTTCTCGGTGGGCAGCATGATCCCGCGTATAAACCACACCGTCCTCTTCGAGCTGCTCAAGGCTCTGAATGCGCCACGGCTCTTCGTGCAGCTGCTGTTGGCGCTGCCCACAGCGGTGCGTCAGCAGGAGCTTGAGCTCTTTGTCAAGTACGTTGTGAACGAGACATCCCTGGTGGACGTCACCTTCTTCCTGGACGTCTGGTGGGAGATAATGAAACACAAGGAGGGCGAGCAAGACAAAATGATCCTGATGTTCAGCACTCTAGCCCATCAACACCTGTCCAAGTCTCCAGATGAGCCCTGCCACCCGGCAAAGAGATTCAAGGGGGACCCCTTCTCCCTGCAGAGCTCCCCCGTGGCCACTGGCCTGTTGACGGTTCTGATCGACGGGCTAAAGCAGCTCTATGAGAGTATCGTCCTCCCCAAGATGAAGTGCTGTGCTCTCGCCAACCTGGCGGAGCTGCTGTCGGTCTTCACGGTGATAGAGCGTGAGTCCAGCTCGCTGCCCGTCAAAGCATACCTAGACAAGATCGCATCCGTCGTCGCCATCTGGAACGACGACAGCGAGAACCGGTACAACGGAAGGGGGCTGGAGGAGAAAGTGAAGGAGGCCGAAAGGAGCGTGAGCTTGCTGTCTGTGGTCAAGCTGTCCAACGAAGAGCTGTTTGTTGGCTTGAGCTTCCTCCGTAGCTTGCTCCAGGGCTGGGGGGAGGAGCTGCAGTGCATGCTGAACAACCACAAAGAGATCTGCTACGAAAGCTACCGACTCCTTGACAGCCTCAATGCCTTCGGGAAGAACCTGATCTCCTTTGCCAAGTCTGGAGACCTGTGTGAGGACGAGAAGCAGATGGTGTCAGAACTGGGACAGATCATCATGGACTTCCTCAAGAAGATCAATCCGAAGCCGAAAGGCAGGAATTCAGACAGCAGTGTCATGGCTTTGGTTGCCATGGCAATTATCGAGAAGAGGATGGACCGGCACACGGAAATGTGCTCCATTTTTGCTTCTGAGAAGGCCTGGGCCTTTTCTAAGGACTGGGTCGCCTGTCTTGTTAAAAACAGAGCCCTCTTCCAGAAACCGGAGCTGGTCTTGAAATTGCTGGAGACCACCGTGACTTTTAGCCTGTCTGCCGATAACAGAGAGAGCAGGGAGCTGCAGAGTCAAGTGATCAAAACCATTCTGGAGTGTTACGCTGAGCTTCCACTATCCGACAAGAACAAAGTGATCTCGGGCGTCCTGGCTTCTTGGGGTGGGCAGGGCCTGTCCTTGAACTTGAAGGCTTCCATGGAAGGTTTTCAAGAGGAGCTGAACTTGGCTTTCAACCAGATCACACAGAGTGCGTCAGATCAAGGTCTCACCAAGGCTGTCGCCTCTGTGGCGAGGCTGACTCTGCTCCACCCAGAGGCGACGGTGAAGAAGGTCTGCAACCTCGCGGTCGTCAACCTGGGAACGCACCAGTTCCTAGCACAGATCCTGTGCTCCTTCCCAGCGCTGAGCTTCCAGGAGGCACGAGACGACCCAAACCAGTCGGGCAGCCTGCTAGAGAGATGTCTAAAGGAGACTGTTTGGGGGAAACTCTCCTCCGCTAAGGAAAAGGAGCAGTTTGTAGAGTTCTTGGCCTTTCTCATGCAGCCGAGTTCAGGGCATTCACTCCTCTCCCCCGCAGAGGTGACCAAAGCCTTTGTCCTTCCCCATTTGAAATCAGACTTTGCTCACGTCGAGCTGAGCTTGCAGATCCTCACTAAGGTTCTGGAGGTCCAGCCTGATCCAGAGGAACAGTGGCTCAAGTCCTGCTACCCCTTCCCGCTCCTTCTGGGCCTCTGCAAGCTCCTGGATGGCTACACGAAGTACTGGCACCGGTTCAGGGACCAACACTGCCCTTCGCTGGAGACCAAAGACCTGATTGCCACCACCCTCGCTCAGCTCTGCGACATGGTGGGGCAGAAAGCTGCCCCCTCCCCAGAAGTGTGGATCCAGTCGCTGGCGTGGCTACACCGGAAGGTCGAGCTGCTGGACTGGACCGTTGGTCTCCGGCTGAAGAAGCTTTTGGGGATCACTTCAAGAACGAAGTCCCGGCTACCCTGTTTCAAATTTGCAAGCTCTCAGAGGACGAGTGGACGTCCCGCCCCGCCCCGGCATATGGGGCAGGCAGTGGGCTCCTGGCCTGGATGGAGTGCTGCTGCATATCCACGGCGCTGCGGGAGCAAATGCTCTCTCTCCTCACCGTGGATGTGGACAACCCAGAAGAAGTCAACTTGTTCAGCAAAGGGTTCCTGGTGGCCCTGATACAGGTCCTTCCGTGGTGCAGCCACAGCGAATGGAAGAGACTCACGCAGGTGATTGAAAGCCTGCTGCACAGGCAAGTCCTTCACGTACCTTATACTCTGGAGTACGTGCAGTACATGCCGCTGCTCAACTTCAAGCCGTTCGCCCATTATCTCCAGTTCTCCGTGCTGTTCTTGAGAGGATTCCAGCTGCTCTGCAGTTCCAGCTGCTCCAGCTGGCTGCCGGCAGACGCCTGGCAGCACGTGGTGAGACTCTACAGTAGCAGCCTCACCGAGCTGCTGGGCTCGGTCAAGAGGGATTCCCAATCTCACTGGCACTCTGCCGACGACAAGAACCCCACGCAGGAAGTGTCCTTCGTCTACATCCAGGTGTTCTGCCACGTGCTGCACGTGGCGGCCATGCTGCCGGATGACCGCTCCGGTGAGCCGCTCCTGGTCCTGGCCTTGGAGATCCTCTCGCAGTACGAAACGCTCAGTGCCGCCGACAAGTCCCTGAGCAGCGCACTCAGGAAAGCCAACGAGAAGCACTTCCTGGAGTCCATCACCGACAACGTCAGCAACAAGGAGCTCCGGGCCACGCTCCTGCAGAAGCTGAGCAAGCTGTGAGCCATCCCAGGTGGCAAACCGGTTGCAGATTACACCTGGAGCGAAACGGCGTGTCTCGGCTCCACGGATCATCAAAGCTCAGAGGCGTGACCGAATGAGACACAACGGTGTTGAACAGAGCCTAAACCCTACAAAGATGAGGAGAAGTGACTTGGAGATTTGTCAGATCTATAATAAACCTTTTCTTTTGGACTTGTTTGTGTAGCTGTATTTTTTAACATGCCTGAGAGTGTCATGGTGTGTTTAGAAATTGAGGTCTGCGTCCTCTGTGAAACCTGACAGTTAAAATAGCCTCCATTTTAGTTGTTCTGGAGTTGCGGGTGCAACTCCAATCTGGCCTTTTAATATCTTGTTACTGTGTTTGCTGTTAAGGAGTTTCGCACCAGGCCTACAGCCCTATAACCCTGATCCAGGGACGCTCAGCCTCCATTGGCTATTCAGTAACCAGGCCCCCTGCTAACACTGTCAGCAAAAGGGGCTTAGATCCTCATGGGCACATTGCGACCTCACCACCTGCCTGCTGGGGAAAATGAAGTGACCCCCCCCCCCCCAAAAAAAAGCAGCTTGGTAATGTATTTGGGTTGCTTCTGTGCTGGGCTGGATTCAGACTGGTAAGCCTGACTCCCCCTCAGCCGGCTAGAGCCTCTCTCCTCAGAAAGTGCACGTTGTACAAGACAGATTCACCATCCAGTGGCTCTGAAAAGAGGTCTTTATTCCGACAGGTGTAGTAGTGAGTAGGGGCAATGTTAGTGCAAACTTTAAACTGTCCCAAGAGCTTTTTTCCTTTCCGTTACATAAGGCAAATTATTTGTAACAAAAACAGCAAGATAAAAATGCCTGCAACACCGAGAGCATGTTACAAAGTGGAAACCCACCCATCTGACTGGCCTGTGTAGTTAATAATAATCAAAACAAAACACGTTACTAATCCGACAGTCATTGCAGGGGCGCATTGTTAGAGCGAAGCTTGGAAAGAGCCCATTCCTTTATTCTTCCAGGAACATGTCCAGGGTAAGGCCGGATGCCTGAAGGAATTGGGATTCGGAGAGCTAAGTGCTTTCAAACACAGTCTTCAGCTCTTGCGCGGCGGCTGAATAAAAGCTACAAGGCAGCCTATCCTTTTGTAAACTCCCTGCTTCACGGATAGGTAAGGGCCAGATTTGCCCCTGGGGGAGCTACTCACTTCTGTGGAGTTATTCTCCAGGGACAAATGCAGCCTGTTAGTGCTGGCACCAAAGGTTACAAAGAGCCGGTGATTGTCCTGGTGTTTCTTGTGCATATGGTGATTGTCCATCGGGGTCTCTGCTCAGAGTGGTTGGCGTTTTGCTTGTGCGCCTGCTAGGGTCTTTAGTCCACAGTTATAAAGAAAGATCTGGTTCTCAGCCTTTAGCAAAGTGCTGCAGTCTGGGGCTGGTCTTGCAGAGGGTGTGGTACTAAGCAGGGTCAGGGGAAACAATTAGTGCAGCCGATACTGTGGGCCCAAGTCAGCGTTGGTGTAAGTGGGTGTAGGACTAGACTAGGGGTGTCAGTCAGTGACCACTGTTCTGGGGCTGCCACCTCCAGCAGCTTGTTGCATTTCACCTATAATTCCTAACTCCAGTTTCTTCTCTCTGGTTCTTTTCACCAGGGCTGAGTTAGTGGGTTGGGTAATCCCAGACCTGGGGAAACATGGCACTTAGGTCTGCATGGAGTATTGCCAAGGGACAAACTCATGCTTAGCAGCAACTAGAAACTTCCCCGGAGGCAATGGACCAAATTCAGCCATGGCACAAGGGCGGTGTAAGGGGAGCAAACTGTTCAGAACATCACCCCATCAGGGCCAGATTCTGTTCTGAGCTGGAAGGGTGTAAATCAGAATAACTCAGAACCTGAGCCAAGTGAACCTGCCCCTCAGTATGTATGACACACTGGTTTTCCACAACTACAGAAGGCCAGATCACACCAGTGACCACCACCGCCACTGAATTTGGCCCAGAGTCTTCTGTGGGTGTTACACCCACTGCTGCCAGGTCTGGGTCTGTGCCATACTCTTTCAATGCCAATTTCACCTATTAATTGACCGGAATATTTATAACCAACCCTCTTGCCTCCCTTCTCTCCCCTTTAGCATTTCATTGACCAATAGCTAGAGAGTCTGACAAAGCAAGGCTCTTTAGTGCTTCACCTACATAACCCTCCCACTAGCCAGGTTCTCCCGCAGACAGAAGGACCCAGGACACTTGAGTGTTACAGAAAGAAAGTCCTTCTGTAACAGGCTGGTGCTGCTTCCCTGAACTGCAGCGGAGACAACACAGCTGCTTTAAAGTAAAAGAGCCTCCTAATACTAATGGGCAATGATGTTCTGGTCCCAACCTGGTACCTACAACACTGATTTTAATGGCAAGGCAGCTGGGAGAAGAGCCAGGATGCTGGCTTAGTCTCAAACCTTGTGGTCTGCAGCCGCCGCCGGCGATTATCTATTCTTGTTGGACGGCGAACTGCTGTAGAGTCGGACAGCTTTCCTGCAGATCAGCATGAACCAGTAGAGCTGTGGGGCGATGAGAGAGGCATTGGCCACGTTGCAGTGCATGGGGATGTGGAAAGGCACCATGTAGATGGGGATCCCCGCATGCCTGGCGTAGGCCCCGTACATGAACGGGAAGAGGACGATCCGGCAGAGGAAGAACGTCACCAGGATGAGAATCCCATTCACCTTGTGCAGGAGCGTGTCCTGCATTTTTAGCTGCAAAAGAAACAAAGGCGGGGGCGGGGAGAGAACGCATGGTAAATGCTGCATATAAAGAGTGACTGTCCATTTCTATGTCACTGATTATTATCCCTGCAGTATTGTAATGCCTGGAGACATACAGGCATGTAGGGAAACAGTCCTTGCCTCAAAGAGCTTTCAATCTATGTACCTGGGCTAGTACACAGAGAAGACAATGGCAAGTCTCTCATTGGCTCCAAAGAGCTTTGGATCAAGCCCATGGACGAGACAACGACAGGACGGCCTGTGAGGGGAGGGTGACTGGTGACAAAGGATTTCCTAAAGAAAGAGGATTGGTGAGGAGAGCTGCTGCTCTTTGGCTGGTGACTAGTTAGTGAGGACTTAGTCCATCCATCTTTGACTACAATATGATGGAAGCAAGTGGGAACTAGGATGCCAGTGTGGTCTTAAAACAGGGATTTCTGGATGTGTGGATCACAAACAGCTGCTGTGGGGGTCCTGACCACCTGCTTTCCCCACAATGTTAAATGAAAGAGGGCTCCTAGTTGGATGGAAAGCAGTTCCAGGTAGGTCCTGGGGTGGAAAAGGATGACAACCACTGCTGAATTTCCCAGGTAACCTTGCTGTTAGCATTAAAGCTTTTTTGATCCCAATATTTAGAGGGAGAGCAGCATGGGTAAAACAATACACCCCACCCCGTTCTTTTTAAAGATACATATGGGCCAGGCCTACCTGCATCAGGATTTTGCCCAGTGACACAAACGGAGTGCTCAGTTCCGCCACAAAGATGCAACCAACAAAGAAATCTCCAAGCTCTCCTCTGAGGTACTAGAAATAACCAGAGTGATTAGTGCAGGGACCTTCTTCGTGGCCAAGAGAGGCCCAGTCCAACTCCCACTGATGCCAACTGGAGGCTTCCCAGTGCTTTCAGTGCCGTTGGCTCACACCCCTCCTGAACAAAGCTGGAAGGAAGGTAACTTTAAGGATTACCATGGGGATCGCAGCTTCTCTTTTGGGTCCAGATGCCCCCTCTTCCCCCGAAGGTGGACTTGGAAGCAAAGATTTCTAAGTGTTTAAGATACTAATCGATGGTGACAGATACAGATCAAAGGTACACAGACTGATTAAAGCTTCCACTTGACTAAATTTTATGTTCAGACTAAACTGGTTTCAGTCCTGATAGGTTCAGAATAAGTCTAGGAGCAGAGCGTGGCATGTGCTGCTTGTAGACTCTGCGAAAGGAGGTGGAGGACTGTCCCATCTTTAGAGTCCTACCTACTAGTCAGTCTGTGAAATGTCCTAAATGAGAGAGATGTGGTGTCCCCTGTGTTTCCAGGCATAGGTGCTGGAACTGGTGCTGCTGCACCCCTTGGTTTGTGGTTTCCATTATATACAGGGTTTACTGTTTGGTTCAGTGGCTCTCAGCATGCCTGTTCCCTGGTAGAAGAAGGTGCCCTGGAGCAATGGTTGATGGGGGATGACCATGGAGCTGCACAGATGGTTCAGGAACACAGTGAAATGGATGAGGTGGAGCTGGGTGTGGGGAGCCCGGCTGCTGCAGTGGGGGACAATCAAGGGTGAAAGCCAAGCAAAACTCCCATGGATATCTATAGAGCCAGGATTTCACCCCTGTGTTTAGAGACCACCCAGGAGGTAATGGGAATCAACAAAGACCACAACTGAGGGCACCATGTGCCCAGGCATTACTCCCAGTCTGGAACCAGGTGAGCGCTTCACTGTGTGTCTCACTCTTGTGTTCAGTTAGACTGGCAATCCCGATTGCTGCCCCTACCTGCGCGACGGGCGTGAGGACAACAAGAATGAAGAGATGGTGCGTCACCATGAGGCGATCCTTTTCCAGGAAGCTCCTCACGCTGGCCAGCGAATGCTTCTTCTCCGAGGTGTCTTTGCTTTTGTGCCAATGGCAGAGGTACATGACGTATATGTCGTAGATCATGTATGGGACGATGACCCAAACATACTCTACTGCGAGCCAGTACCTAAGGGGAGGAAGTGATCTCGCATTACCATAGCCTCGTGCACACGCGGACGGCTGGAAGATGGAGGAGATGGATGTGCTTGGCTCACCAGCATGATACAGTTTTAGTCTGGTCTAACTCCATTGTCTGCAAGGCCCAAAGGAAAACTTGCCTCTGATAGGCCAACGCCTGCCGTGGGCACCCGCTTTACCCTGCTGCTCACATTTCCATTACAATGTTGTTCAACGTTTACTTCAAAAGCTAGGCTGGGGCTGCTACGCTGCAGAACATCCCCAATCAAAGGATTTCACAGCACTTCCCCCAAGGTGTCGCCCTCCTCTGAACAGACAGAGAAACTGAGGCATTCAGAGACAAAGCTGCTTCCCCAAGGTCACTTCAGTGCCACAGCCAAGAACAGAACCCAGGAGTCCTGAGCTCTAACTAGCCGGGAAGCTGCCGCAGGTTAGCAGGCAGCTCCAGTGTCCTGCCAGGTTCTGAGTGCTCTG